CATATATTTAGATGACAGTATTTCAGAGGAGATGTGATTTGAAGAGGGTATTGGGCTGTTCGGAGTATTTTTTCGTGTTACAAATACTACAGATAATTGTCTGACAGAGCAAAGTGATATTACTGTCAGGTTTTATTTGGGTTGTTGGGTGTTTTTTTTTTAATGAATTCAGCTTGCTTAAAAAAATCTGAGTAAAGAACACTCAGCATTTTTCTCTATGCTTATGCATCATTGTATTTTGAAATACCATCTTAAATTCTAGTTTTTCCACCTCACAGTAACACAGGTAATGTAGATAAAAGTAGATACTTTTGCAGGAAATTATCCCCCTCACTTGGAGCAGATATTCAGTATCAGTGGGTTATAAATCCTTAAGGAGTCTTTAACAAAAGCAGCTGTCCTCTTTGAGACTTCAGAGTTTGTGAATAAAGACACTAAAAGGTGTTAGAAAACAAATATTATAAAGATGCTAAAATATTTAAATCATATTTGACTTGTTACACAGATGGAAGTTTGCTCTTAAGCATTGTGTTTGTGTAAAGAAAACATTTAGCATAGTTGTTCTTTGTGCAAGTGAAACCCACTCCTCTGTACAACCATTTCAAGTCAGAGCTCCAGTTCTGCCAAAGAGAGTGTGATTTCTTCTCTTGGAGGTACAGTAATGCTTTTGGCAACTGTTCCTTAAGGATCTGCAGGCTGGAAGTGAGTGCAAGCAAAACTGTCCCCTTCACTGGGCCTCTTTTTTCCCTTTTCCTTAAGCAGCTGGCAGAGTTCTCTTGTTCCTGTAGGAGAGAGTGAATTACCAGCACTCTGTGCCAGCGACAGAACGGCTAAAGGTTCTGCAGCAAAAAAATGCAAACAATGCATTTTAGTACCTTTGAGCTGGTTCTGAGGAGGGCTGGAGCGTTACTTTCAGTTAGAAATTTCTTTAGAAGCAGACTGCAGCAGAATTCCAATCAGGATGTGTGTGGTTTTGGTATGACATCCACCCGAGCACATGATGCTTGGTAAGTGCTGGAGTCTGGGTTATGATTCATTGGGAAGCAACATGGAAAACAATTGTCTGTTTTTCAAGTGTTGGAGAAATTAATTTTAGGTTGGAATTGTGTGTAATTTTGCTAAAATAAACCTGCAAGTAGCTGGAATTACCTGTGTTAGCAGGGAGGAAGGGTGGTGGGTATGACTGGTATTTTTTAAGCCAGTGGAGTTGCACTGGCATCTGCCCCACTGCACATGGAGTCCAGGGTTGCATATGCTGGTTTTTAAGACAAAGTGGAGTCTGGGGATGGCGAAGCTGTTTAGACAGCTGGATTTATCTGTAGTTTATATTTTTAAGTTCTTTTTCAAACTTGGTCAGAAATCCTTCTTTATAATTTTCTGCCCGTATGTTTGACCTAAGAGATGCATCTTTCCTTGTTCAGTGCATGTGGAATGTTTAAGCTGATGGACTTCAGTGAAATGTAATTATCTTCACACACATACGGTTTTGATGCCCCCTCAGATAAAGTCTAATAGCAAAACAAGAATGACTTCTCTCAATAATAATAATTAATAATTTTAAAATTGTAGCAAATATTCCATTTCTAATAGAAAATTATTTCTAAAGTGTCATTTTAAATTAAAATTACTTAATAATGGGAAATTGATGAATACCCTATAAATAATTGTAAGTACAATTGTCTTACAAGTGGAGTCAGCTATCTGTAGGATTTGCTGCTTATATTTAAATAGGAGGGACTAATAAGTGCTGATGTATTTTCACGAGGGCAGAGCTCGTTACTGTCCTACAGGGTGCTGTAACATTTCCATCTGGGCTCAGAAAAAGTAATATCTGATGTGGAAGTAGAAGCTTCAGGTATTTTTCATTTTTTTTGCAAAGACTATATAGTTGAAGGTAGATGAATTGAGGAGAGGATCTTTGAGGAGGGGATTATAAAACAGTTCCCTGGCCAGAAGAGGATTTGTTCTAATTTAGGAAGAGGGCATTATTTGCCTACAGAAAGGGCTGGGGTGTGGCCTGCTGAGATTGCTGAGATAACTCAATAATTTTAGGTGTCTTGAGGGAAAGTCTGCCTGCTGTACTTGTTCCTGGCATCAGGCTGATCCCACTGCCCAGTTTCTTGGTCCCTTCCAAAAACCTTAGCAGGAAAGTGTTGTTGGGTTTTTTTGTGTTTTGGTTTCTGTTAGGGTTGTGTTTTTTGTTTGATTTTTTGTTTGTTTGGTTTTTTGGGGGCAACAAAACTATCAGTTCACCCATATTTAGGGCTGTGACTTTTAGTTTAAAGTGAGGATACGTGAAATAGGTGCTGTTGTGTAAAATGGAAAATTTATTTTGTTTGGGAATTTCAGTAAGTTAGTTCATCAGTGGTCACTTGACAGCCCCATCCCCCCGTAAATGCAGCACTAAGTTGTTAAAAAGCGACTTATAAGACAAAACCCCCAAACAACTGGTGTAGCTGCATTTTTTGCCTAATTTTACAAGTATTTTTGGTGGAGGAAACTAAATTTTTCCCTTGAAAATCAACTTGTGCTTATTAAAACAGAAAAATTCTGAACAGAGATTATTCTTTTCTTTGAGGGAGTGAAAAGCAGGAATGTGCTGGAGCTGTAGGTGGTTTTGCAGCCTCCAAATGGCCATTTAAATTGTAGTAGACTAGATAATATTTTGTTGAAAACTAAGAATTTGGCTTGCAGCCACCAAAGATTCTGCATTGCAGCACGAAGAACAAGCCATCCCTGCACAGCCTTCATTTAAACAGTGATTTTTGCCATGGCTTTTCGTGTTGCTGCTTCCCAGGTTATCTCATGGCTGTTGTGCTATTTCTGAAGTTCCCCATTTGCTTCCTTGGGGTGGGGCAGGAGGGTTTGGTTGTGTCCAAGAGCTGTTTCCGTACTGTAATTCAAGAGGAGGCTACTGTATGTTAAATATAGAGTGTCCTGCCATTAACTCACACTTGCTCAGAGCGCTGCAAGCCCAAACTTTCCTGCTGAGCGCTGCTCTTGCAGAGCAGTGGAACTGAAACAGACCCAAAGCTGGGAGAGCCATTCCTGGGGGATTTGAGCTGCTTTATGCTGTCCAAACCCAGCCTGCAGAGATGTCTGGGAAACACACGATGTTCAGGGGTCATCCTGAGCACCAGCTGTGAGACCTTCAAGGCTGTATTTTATGGTGGAATCTGCTGACCTGCAACTGCTCATTTGTAATTAGTTGAAAGAGACAGGCAGTAGATGGGGGGGCAGAGCAGGGGATCCTAAGGGTTACAGATTGTATTGTTATGCTGTTGGCTGTTCCCTCCTAAGCATGCCACCGGAATCTGCTTGTGGGCTGTGTCTGGAGGTTCTCAAGTCACTGGTTACCTGACATCATATTAACCCTGTCTTTACCACCATAAATGAAATTTGATTCAGACAGCAATAGCAGATTTCTGTACAACCACATGACTCTTGAGCAAGCTGAACTGTAGCCCTGAAGAATTGTGAGGAGTTTCTCAACACAGCAGAGATCTGGATCCTCATCTCCAGAAAGATGATCACTTTTCTAGCTCTTACCTGAGAGAGGCCACAAAGATATGGGAACAGGTTTTATTTGAATTAAGTATACCATTGGGAAAAAAAGGTTGTTGAACAGAGATGACCTTGGGAGTGGCACGGAGATGATGAGCAGGGAGCAATGCCTTTGTCTCTCTCCTTATACAAGAATCTGGGCAAGAGCAGACTAAGCCAGATTTTAGGATAAAAAGAAACAAAAAGAGCCTGTGAAGAAAAGGTACTAGCAAAGTATGTAGTTTAGACTGCGGAATCCATGGCCGCAGGATGCTGGTGAAGCTAAAAGATTTAGGACTGGCCAGGATCCAGGACAGAATCACCTCGGGACATCCCCACACCCTGTTTGGGTGTTTTAGGGGTTCCTTATTTCCCTCGACTGGCAGGGCTTTTTTCCCCTCAGCCTTCCTTTTGGAGACACTTTCTCAGATACTGAAGCAGGCATTAGCTTTTTGAACTTGTAACTTACTTCAGTATTGAATTGATTCCTTTTCTGTCTCTGCCTAATATTCATCAGCATTTTTACAGGTTGCTCCTGCATATTAATTTGCTGTAATATGCTTTAAAAAATGGGGGGAAAACAACTTTGGATTTTACCCACTTATACACAGGACACATAGGACACTTCATTAGTTCTTCAAGAATCTTCTGAAGACAGGTTTTATTTGCCACAAAGCCAGCTTTCTCTTCTGGGGGTTTCCTATGGGAAGGGCTGATGGAGTTTGCAGTTTGACCCTCAGTCACCAGTCCCTTCAAGTGTGTGACCTCTTGCAACACTGGTACTCTCCAGACTGCCAGTGATACCCACACTTCCTTGGGTGATGAGCGAAGTACCTTTCCTTTGAGTCACTGGTTTGCCTTTAATGACAATTATATTGCTGTATGGAAACTAAAGGCTCTCCTCTGTAGATACAAACCCAGCTTTATTTCCATTGCAATGAATGATAGGCAGTTGTAATTAAATGATTCTGAGATAAGTGCAGTGTAGTTTGCTTTTCCTTCATTTTCTGCTCTGAAGATTTTGCTTGCTGCCTTGACTGACTGCATTTTTGCTGATATCAACCATGTGTTTTCAGTAAAATAAACTTTCCTTGGGCTTCAGCAGTGCTTAAAGAATATTGCAGTGTTAGGAGAGGGAGTGGGATTAAGAGTATGGCAAATGAGGAGGTGTCTGATCTTAAAAAAGTTGTTACTTTAACTCAGCGCATCTAAATGAGTATCTGAAGAAATTCTACCCTGAATCAAAATGCTGGCTACCAGAGCTTGCAGATGTGGATGATTGGCTTCTCCTTGCAGGGAGGAGGCTGGATAGACCCAGGGGTACCTCGCTGAGGGATTGATTCTGTACCTCCTGCAGCCCAAGCAAAGTGCATTTCCTGGTGTTTCTTACAGGAATTTAATGCTGCCTATCTCAGAACAGCTTGGAACAACAAGGCCTTTTTTCTTTCCTGCCTTAGAAACAAGGCTTCCAATGGGGATTTCCGGAAGGAGCACCGGGAGAGGAGTCGCAGCCCCATTGAGAGGGCAGCTGCCCCGACAATGAGCCTTCATGCCAATCACATGTACGCCTCAATCCCAAGCTTGAGCATGGATCAACCTCTAGCACTGACCAAAACCAGCATGGATGCAACCAGGACAGTGGGCATCACACCAACACTGACTTCTGTGGAACGGCAGCAGGTATGGGCTGGCAGGAGCTGTGTGGGGTGGAGTGCTGGCTGTGGACACAGCGAGGACTCCCAGGTGTAAGCAGAACATTTTGTGAATTACAATAGGTAGGAGATACTATTCCTCAGGCAAAATATTTTTTAAAAACACACAATGAATGTCACAGGTCATCATGTTTAATGTGAATATATCACTGATGCTAAATGTATCTGTCACAGATTTCTTGGACTTTCTGCTTTCCCTGATGCATATGTTTTAATTGGGAATGCAAAGTGTGAGGTTCAGTGAAGCCCCAGTTAACTGCTAGGCAATGACTGATGCAATTTCCAGGTAGAGGGTATCATCTGTGCCCCTCTTGGTGATCCATGTGTGCTTCCCTCCTCTCTGTCCCGGGTCTCTCCCACCAGGACTAATGAAAAATGGGTGCAGGACAAAAAGGGCTTAAGGGAAAATTTTGCACTGAATGTTCCAGGTGAAAGAAGCTGGAATGATCTTAGTTGTTTTAGCCAGCCAAAAGCTGCATTGTTCAGAGCAATGTTGTGTCACTAAGCCATAATGACTTTTCCTAAAGCCAAGTAATTATTTTTAATTATTTTATACTTTATTTCCATATGCTGGAGTGGTTGTTGGAGGGGTTTTTTTGTTGGCTGGTTGTTTTTTGACTTTCTTGCACGTTGCACTTGTTTTGCTTCAGAAGTGCTGACTGTGAGCCTGTGCAAGTTCCATAGGAACAGTTAAGTGTCAGACTTGCTTAAATCCCTCTTACAAGTGGAGAGACAAAGCAAGAGAATTGAGTTGTGATGAGCTGCAGCACTGAGAAATGAAACTGGCTCATGTACCCAAATCCATCCTTCCTTCCTTCCCCCTACAGTGATGCCCTGCAGAGGGGGAACACTTGGAGTAGATGGTGTTTCACATGCTTTTCACTGGAGCCATCAACTTCCCATCCACTGCAGATTTTTATGCGGGTTGGCTGTGTACACAAGTCCCTTACATTTTGCTATGCCAAACCCCCTGACTTTGCACTGCTGCTCTCTCACACCCCTTGGCAGTAGCTTGCAGAGCTGTTGTTCAGTGCTCTTGGTTATCAGTGATGACAGAGGAGGAAGGGACAGGCTCCAGTGACAACACTGGTGCCCTTTGACAGCATTACTGCTGTGTCCCTGCTCAGCAGCTGTACCACTGACACTCTGTCTGACTTGGGCTGATTCCTGCTGCCCAGTACTGCATTCCTCCCTCCTGTTACCTTTTATGGTTTGAATTAGATTACAGTAGTTTTTCTTGGGAAAATAGGATGTTGAGGTAAGACCTTGCTAAGATCACAGAATACAAATCATATAAAATAAAAGTCTATTGATAAAAAATAAAAGTCTAGTGATAAAGAAACCTTAGGTTGATGATTCATTGTTTGGTTTTGTGCCTTTTTTTTTTAACCTTAACATGTTGAATGGGACTTCATCTTATCTGTTTCTAATAAACAGGTGGGGAAAAATTTCCTTCTTATTTTCAGCAGGACAGGGTTATTCAGTATTCTGTTGTACTCATTGCTACTAAGTTCTCTATGTATTTTCAGTATTTTCATACAAGTGTCTGTATCCTGCTGTGTGCTCTGTACACACACACACAGTCATAGCAGGGGACTCTGTAAGATGCCTTATCCTTCATCTTGGATCCTTCATGGTGTTGGCACATGAATTCCTGAGACATTATTACCTGTCTCTCTCTACTTCCCACCTCTTGCATGTCCAAAATACTCTTTTGAAAATATTAGCATACATACCCTTCTCAAAAAACACTTTGAAGAGTGTTAGTCTTGGTCATCTTGGTCCCTATAGAAAATAAATTCTTCCGCATGTGAAATGCTTACAAAAAAATCAAATACTTCCTTTTTTTCCTTTATTTACTTTTTTTTACTTTGTTGTCAGTGCAGTGAGATGTAGCTAGCTTGTTGTGTAAAATTCCTGTTGTGTCCTGCCAGATGGTGTTAAACCTCCCTGAAAAGCTCAGCTCTTTTACTTTACAGGTCTTGCTCTTTACTGGTAAGAGCAAGACTTTACTGGTCTTTCTCTTACTCTACCTAAAGTACCACCAAACAAGGAAAACTCCCTCCTTCCCCACTGCCCTTGTATGGGGGTAATGCAGTGATTTTTGTGGGTTTGCTTCACAGATTTGTAAAATGGACAAGACGTTAAATTACATCAGTTCTATTAATTTTTTTAAAAACTTAACAATTAACTTGCATTGAGTGTAATGGACTCTTTGTATCAGAAAATATACCAAAGATGCAAAACGAATCTATTCCAATACCTGTGTTCTTTCCCTTCAGCCACCTTTCTTTTCCCAAGGCCTTGTGTCAATGTAACATTTACATAGTAAACAACTATAAAAAGAGTATTTTATGTTTACACTTTGTACGAAGTATAGATGGCAGAGCTATGATAATGTAATATAGATTTGGGGGAATTTGCGTGTGTTAAGAATGAAAAAAGATGATGTTTATTAAGTAGTGCTGGAAAGCAGATTAATTACAACTGGAAAGTACTTGTGGTCAAGACTGGCTCAGGAGCTCTTCATATTACATATTTTGTGAGCTTACTGCATTGTGTCTGCAATATGGAATACAGAATTAGAGCTAGGAAAACTCAACTTCTGAATGAAAAATGGTAACACCAAGATGACAAATACCTCTAAAATCTGCAAAGCCCTTCTGAGTCCTGGAATAATACAGATGTGTGGCCATAGGTTGAAACAAACATTTGGTGTGTTGACATTTAGTGCTGCATATGGAATGTCTGTGAGGTTGCAACAGTCACTGTAAAATCATTTTAAACCTTGTAATGATTTGCTTTCACACTGCCCTTTTTCTGTGTGGCTGTTCAGCACTTAAATTCCAAAATTCTACCATTATGGAAATAAAGTGTGGATTTTTTTTTTTTTAAAGCCGAATATTTGGGGGTTTAATGTGCTTTGTTGAATTGGATAGTTCGTGGGTTTAGTTGGTGCTACTGTGGCTGGGGCTGATTGCTGGAGTGAGTGACAGCTTTCCTCCCTATTCCCCCCAGAACCGTCCCTCTGTCATCACCTGTGCTTCTGCCAACAACCGAAACTGCAACCTCTCCCACTGCCCCATCGCCCACAGCGGCTGCGGGTCCGGGCCTGCCTACAGGAGACCCTCCAGCAGTAAGTGACATCTCCAAACTCCCCACAGCCTCACCAGAATTCCAGGAGAACAGAATGGTCTCACCAACCTTAGCTGTGCAGGCACTGATGTATTAACAGCAATAAAAAGAGGTGAAACAGTGGACACCTCTTTGTATCCCTGCATTGCTCCCCGGACATGCACTTTCTATCCATCAATCCTGTGCCACTGAAGAAAGTGCCAGTTCAAAGTAAGGGGGGAGAGAGGTGCTCTTTCTTCTTGTTTTGAAAAGCTGCTTTAAAAAAACCAAACACCCCACACAGACAAATAAGTCATTATGTTTATTTTAGTCCATCTGACAAACAGCAGCCAGGGCCAGCAGATCCAACTATGGAACCATATTTTAGGAGCTGTAGTTTCCCCAGTCTTTCAATAGCCAGTAAACTCTTACTATTCAGCTGCAGTTGCAAAAATCTTTCCTGCAGCTACAAATACCCTTCCAAAGCCCATTTCCTCCACCCAGCTCTGCATGGATAACACAAAAACCTTTGGAGGGCAGTTGCTACAGCAACCCAAGCAGGAAGTTTTAACTTTCTGCCTTCTCTGCAGTTAGTACTTCTCATGAAATCTGTTCAGGCGATACTTGCTGGGAAACCTGGGGCTATTTCTGTTCACTCTCTCCCACTGCAGAGTGGGAAAGTCCAGGAGAAGCACAGTCCTTTCATTTCAAGTCCTTTACCTGCTGAGGCAGAGCTTTAACACACAGCATTCCTGAAAGATCATGTCAGTGGGGCTTTGTCAACCAGAACGTGTCCAGGGAACAATTACCAGTGTGATGTAGACAGGAACCTGGAAGTCCGTAGTGGGGCATTAGTATTATTAGTAGCAGTATTTTTTTGATTTTGTAAAGCTCAGTGTATTGTTGATAACTAGATTTAGAAGCTGAAGTGTAAACTAGAATTAGAGGCTGAAGGAGACCGTTAGACTTTTGACCAAATCAGTCAATAGGGACCTCGGCTGTTACGAGTTTTCGCAGAAACTGGTGTTCCTGGTCTCAGGAGAGCTGCAGGGGACCCCAGCTGCACTTACATGGGCTTGGGAAGAAGGGTAAATATTTCCAGAAAAGATTTGTCTCCTGTCAGGTGAAGAGGTTTATGCATGACACTCACATTTATTTTGGGATCAATCAAGCCCTGCTGCAGCACAGATGCCAGTGCCATGTATCCTGACAGTTCCAAGTGCTTTCTGAAAGATAGTTCTCATTTAGACACACAGATACTGTTTCTAAAATGTAAAACTACAGCTCTCTCATCTTTAGTCTGAGGAATTTCTGTACAAAACCTGTCTTTTCAGGTTCTTTGTTCCTTTTTTAGTAGTATTACATCAGTTTAATGCACCCAGTGCAAAGATAATGATTTAATTTAGTTTCCTGACTGCTCTGAGCACAAGTGTATGAAGTAAGATGAAACCCTGAGGTCAGCTCTTGGCATGTAATTTAGAATGAGGGCTCCTCACACCTGACTGGGACCTGATTTTAAAGAACCATTTACATCTTCAGTTCTGTTTAAGCCTAAATATAAGTTCTGTGTTATTGTTTGGGGAGAGGGTTTCCATAGAATTGGGGCTGTAACTATTAGTAGGCTGAGGGAGAATGTAATTATATATAAAATGCTCACCTGTTGCAGGTCACAGAAATGCAATAATACTTAACTCCATTTTTACTTTTTTTCATTTTCATTTTTTCTTCCCCACCCAATTCAGTAACAGTCCTCTAATGGTGTAAGGAAGCTTGGCTTTGTGCTGAGACAGGGGCTTTTCATAAGGGCTTGTAGTGACAGGACAAGTGGCCTTAAGTTAAAGGAGGGTAGATTTAGATTGGGTATTGGAAAGAAATTCTTCCCTGTGAGGGTGGGGAGACCCTGGCACAGGTTGCCCTTAGAGGCTGTGGCTGCCCCATCCCTGGAAGTGTCCAAGGCCAGGTTGGACGGGGCTTGGAGCAACCTGGGCTGGTGGAAGGTGTCCCTGCCCGTGGCAGGGGGTGGAATGGGATTGTCTTGAAGGTCTCTTCCTACCCAAACCATTCTGTGTTTTGTGACAGAAAAACAGGAGAAAATGTGGGTTGTGGATCCAGCCCTCGGTCCAGGGTTCTAACACGTCCTGTGCCTCCTTTCCCCACAGCCACCACTGCCTGTGACCCAGTGGTGGAGGAGCACTTCCGCAGGAGCCTCGGCAAGAACTACAAGGAGCCTGAGCCAGTGGCCAACTCGGTGTCCATCACGGGCTCGGTGGACGACCACTTTGCCAAGGCGCTGGGGGACACGTGGCTGCAGATCAAGGCTGCCAAGGACGGCGTCTCCAGCAGCCCCGAGTCGGCGTCGCGGCGGGGCCAGTCTTCCCCTTCCTCCCACATGGTCAATCACAATCACTCACCCTCCGTGGTCTCCTGAGGAGAGGACCCTTCCCTTTGTCAGTTTGCATGGTTTGACTGAGCTTTGAACAGTGCTTAGATAGTGTTGGGGGAGGAGAGGTTAGTTTTCAACATTTGTTTTTGTGTACTCACTTTTTTTTTGTGAAAGGGTGCCCTTAAAGATGATAGCAGGAACTATTTCATAAAGATTCATATGATGTAGCATCCTTTTTTCCTGCCTCAATTACCAAAGAAACCTCTGATGCAAATCTGCTGCCCCTTAAGAAAATAATGCACGCTAATCCACAAAAGCCATTACACTTAGTTGGTTGACCCAAGTCCTTTTTGCTTTTCTTAGCTTCTTGAGACTAGAATTTGTCTGGTTTGCTTACTTTGCTTTTTTTTTTTTTTTTTTTTCCCTCGGTGAAGTAATTTTGTATGTATATACTTGAAAAGAACTGTTATGTATGATTTGCACTATTGGAGGAGGACTGAAGTTGCACAGCAACTTTCTGGAAGAGGCTAATGTTTTGTGGGCAAACTGCTGAAGAAAGGGTTTAAGGATGACATTTCTATCAGTTTGATTTTTCTTAAAGCAAAACAGCTTTGGAAGGGGAAGTCTCATACAGGTTATAGGTCTTTCTCTCTTTAGATTTCAGGTGCTTAGTGCTTGCAACTGGACTGCATAATTTACAGAACACGGGCATTTTTTCCTAAACACTGCAGTTTGTTAGACTAGAGCTGAGGTTGGAGGGTTCCATAGTGCTTAACGATGCATGTTTTATGAAAAATAGCTGGTATCTATTAATGTATAGACAGTAAGAATCATAATACTTATTAGCTTTTCTTCAGAATTAGTTTATTTTTGTCAGTAACAATCCTAAATATACTTACTGCTGGTACAGTTGTACTCTATGGTATTTGTATTTGATATTCACTTTAGTAGCAGCCAGCGTCGAGGGCAGCTTCAGGACAGGCCTCGTGCCAGCCCTGGAGCTGGTGGCTGCTGGCACAGCATGCTGAGCTCTGCGCAGGTCCAGCAACCCTTCCTGCCTGCAGCTCTGCTGCTTCACAGGGATTTGCTTCCTAAACCCCAGTCTGTGTAATCTACCCTTAACTAGCTGCAGGAACTGCTACTGTTACGGATCTTGGCTGGACAACAGATTGTTACAGTTTGTGACATACGATCTTTCTTTCTGTCTTTTTTTTTTTTTTTCCTTTTTCTTAAGCCTATTCCTAAACCAATGCCAAGTTGCAGCAAACATTCCTCCAGTAGAGACTTTATACAGGTGTTACTGCATTTATTATCATTTGCTATATTAATAGCTACTAACTAGAAATTAGGCATGAAACCACAGCTGTGCTAGTGCTAAGAGCTTCTGTTTTTCTTGTTAAGTGTAACTACTCTCCCCCGTACATTCCATCTTCCCAATACAGTTGCAACTAGGGCTTTTTTTTTTATACTGGGTTACCTGAAACGATTGGTTCAGTGTAGAAAGTGAGAACTAGTTGGAAGATGAACTACACGTGATGTATTATGGACTGTGTTACAGTATTGGGTCCACTGTGGCTTTTATTTTATGCCTCTTTTTTTTTTTTTTTAAAGTTAAGCTATTTAATTCGGAAAGGGTGCAGGGTAGAAAGAGATCAGGAGATTGTCTTGTACTCTTGGTGAGAAGGTGGCTGCTCAGTTTTCTTTAAAAAAAATAGAAAAATAAAAAAAAAACAAACCCAACACCTAAGCCCCCAGTTTTACACATTTCACTACCATCTTACTGGGTAGTCAACGCTTCCTTGCTTTGGCATTCAGTACCCTACTCTCTGTAGGAAGATTGTTAAAAGAACACTTTTTTATATAGGTAACTTTAAGACCATCGTTACGCTGTGCGTAAAGAATGTACAGAGAAATTTGTAGGTATTTTTTGAGGAACAATTAATTTGTTAATGATATGTAGCTATTTAATTTTTCCCTTTCCTTTATTGTAATCATTCATTTATTTTTTTTTTTTGGTTGGAGAAAAAAGTTGATCTTTTTTTTTGTTGTAGATTTGTCTGTAATACAGTAAAAGTGCAGGAACACAGTTATTCTATGAGGACACTGCATTAGCATTAATAGCCACTCATTTGTTATTGCTAGAGGCTACTGAGCAGTATAACAGTCAATACTAATACTGTAGATGGACTCTGTGGAAAATGTGACTCCTATATTTCTTTGTAAACACAAGTAAGATAATGTTTTTAAAGCTAATATTTTCAATAATAGCTGTTTTACAAGGTTACATTTACTTATCTGAGATAGGTAAATGGATTTGAGGGCAATAAGGATTTAATGTGCTATGTCCAGTAAAACATACCTTATTGGACACAACAATGTCATGAAAGCCAAAGGGTTGGGGGGAGGTGGAAGGACACTAAACTGAACTCACCATCATGAGACGTGGTGAAGTTTCTTCACAGAGCCAGGTTATCTACAGTTCAGTTTAAACGATTCTGTTTTTGTAAATCTGTAATATACCATTCTTTTGTGGCCTTGTTTCACCTGGAAAAAAAAAAAAAGGTTTGGCAGGCCATCTTTTTTTTTTGTACTTAAAAGTAGCCTTAAAGAACAATAAAGTGCTCTTAAATCACAGGTGTGTTCCTGTGCCTCTGTATTGCCTGGGAAGAGAGGACATTGGTGTCTGTGCCTCTGGAGCTGGAAGCAGAAACAAACCTCTGGTCATGTCCTGGTCTCCTTCCAGTGAACCCCCCTTGTTTAGGACTGTGACTCCCCCAAAGAAGCTGCCACAGCCTCACCTGAGCTTGGCGGGGAGGGGTCCCTATGAGAGAGACTTTGTCAAGAAAAAAATCTTTTCAGCAACAAAAAGAATCTGTTGCTGCCCCAGCGGCTGTGCTGGGCCTAGAGAAGCTCACCAGCAGCTGCTCCTGAACAGGGACTGGGTTTGAAAACACCAGCTGGTTCTGCATTTCTGCCCCATTCATTAAAAGACTAATGTCTCAATTTTCTTCCATTTCATTTGTCCCTCAACTTCTTCAAGTGTTACCTAGAGAACAGGGAGAAGACAACTGCATTTTAAATGTCAGCATCCACCATCTTGTGTTGCAGGAAAGGCGCATTCCAATGGCAGATCATTCGTGCATCAACTGAAGGTGGTTAATCCTTAAAAACAAGTGTTCTAATTACCTGAGTTTGAGAAAGCTCGGTGAGCCAGGCAAGAGGCTGCAGAGGGCTTTTCAATACTGAATGCATGAGAGGGGCTTCCAAAATTAAAAAGGGACCCCCTAAGACACAAAGTTCTGTTTGAGCAGTGGGGACTAAAAGGTTTGGAAACACAGCAGGCCTGGCATGGCTGTCCAGTGGCTGGGCTTGGGATGGGGGAGATTCCGTGAGACCACTTCCAGAACGATTTGTTTAACACATCTGAAACACATCCCTCTTGTGGAAAGAGGCCTAAATCCATGTTGTGAGGGTGTGTGGGAGGGAGGCCAAGGACAACACGCCCCACAAGCCTCACAGTCTGCTTTCTAAGGGAAGCTGGTTTCCTTTCAGGAAAAAGTCATCCCTGCACCAAAGTTTTGGGGGGCCCATGAGACAAGCCAAGCAGCATCACTATTTTTCAGGTCAGTAACTTACAATGTGTTCCATTTTCTACATGGTAAAAGGAAGAAAACAGTAATTTTTTTTCTACCACATGATATTTCTAATTACTAAGCAGGAATTCTGCACAGGAGGGTGGCACAATGGCCAGGACAAACTAGGCCATACACACACAACCAGACCATATACACATATTAAGTCTCACAGTATTTGTAATGGCTCTTTTACAGAAGCTAAATGAGAGGCAACTTCCAGCTGTGCCTTTACAATCTCACCCCTACACATACACATATTTTTGCTAATTTAATTTTAGCCATAATGACCTGACCACAAATGCCCTCAAGACTGAGTTGGGATTTTTGTGCAGTGAGTGCCCTCTCTATGCATTTCAAGATGGACTGGTTGTGAAAATTACCTTTGCATACAAATGTATCCAGAGGTTAGAGATAGCCAGTGCTGGTACAACAGAACATAATCACGTGTATACCATACATGATAAGTGAGTGACCACTGACCTATCCAAGGACTGGGCTTGCCCAGCAGGGACCTTACACAATGTTTATGTCCTTCAAAACTAAAACCACACAGAGCAGCAAAGGGAGTTTATAGATGGTACCATGGTCAGAGCTGCTTCCGCTGGGGGTCTGCGCTGGATGAGGGCACTCCAGAGTCAGATGGCTGCAGAGTTCAGCAGGGAATTGCTGCAGCTGCTCCTAAATCAGCTGCACTTATCCCAGGATAACCAGCCGTCAGATTTCACACGGGCACATGCACAGAACTCGCAGCTGTAACCAGCTCACCATCATGCACTGGGGCTGTAACTGCACCAGGGAGAAGCTGCTTCCCAAATCACAGCTGAACTGTCACTGCATGGGGGAACACTCCCAGGGGTGAGGGACTGCTGGGGGTGGGAGCAGCTGTTCCAGTGAGGCCAAATCAGCCTTTGTGCTCTGGCAGGATGGGGAGCACTCATTGCTCAGGCTGCTCTAACTCCTGACGTGTGGAAGACACGATCCATGGAGCTGTGAATGAAGACTTCTCCAGTATCACACACTGTGCCAGCGGGTCAAGTTGTTTAATGTGGTACCCTGGCAAAACACATCCCAAGTATTTTCAATGTTATTTGAGCAAGAGCTGCACTCACCAGAACTGGCTCACTTAGGCTTGGCTGAGGGGAACATTCACACTATCTTTAGATCCTTCTTGAGGAACAGCGAAATAGGAAACCACTTTGCATCTTCCTGATGTACTCCCTGTCTCATCTGGTGTGGGTACAGACCCAAGTACATACACACCATGGCTCCAGCTCTCTTCCCTTAGCAGAGAGTTTTTTCACAGCTGGATTATGTGGTGTGTTGAAACACATTTTATCCCTGAAGGACTCATGATAGAAACTATACTAATTTAATAATTTCTAACCTCTCCTTCCATGGGAACATTCTAACAGCTTTCTCGAGTGCATTTCTTGGGTATAAGGCAGCTGAGAGACAATTTTTGTTAAGCTGCAGTTACAGACAGCCCCACAGCAGCTGCCTTGTTCTTCAGACAAAGCTCTCCTGTGTTCCCTTATCTGTCCCACACATAAGACAACAGCACTAGGTGTCTCCAGAGGTGGATGAGAGGTGGAAAGCTCCTCAGGAGCTTCCACACCAGTAAACAGGCTGAGGAGAGACAGCTCTCACTAGACCAGCACTGAGGCACTGAGGAGGGGAACCACCTGCTCCACTGAGACCAGCAGAAAGTCTCCATACAGGGTTTACATTTAACATGGACAGCACCCAGCTCAAAGAGAAATGAGAGCTCTCCAGGTACACCCCTCTGAAACATACCCACCCTGCAGAGACAGTGGGACCAGGGCCAAACACACCAAAAAACAGACTGTGCCCAGCACAGGCTCCTCCTGCGTTGCTTCTTCCTCTGGTGCTCAGGGTGGATGGTGTCCTGCTGAAGGGCCTCCATCTCCATCCCACATCCACCAGTAAGAAAATCTCACATTCTCCTTTGTGACACAATCAGGAGCCCAGTTCATCAGACAACAATGCACAGACTGGGGGTTTCCAGCTGCTAACTCTGTATCACTTCAGTATTGTACCCAGTGACATTCCTGCCTGCTGAGAATGGCTGGCAGAAGATTAGTCTTACATAGATATTCACTGGTATGCATTTATATTGTAACAGAGCTGCAAAGAACAGAATTTCTTTTTCCATAGGCTAATTTTACTTAGTGACAAAGCAGTTACTGACTTCCAGCAAGAGCTACTTCAGTCACATGAGACTCTTTTATTGCTTGTAGCCCTGCCAGTTTCACTGCTCACTGTTGCACTGTTCAGTCTAATTTTACATTTTATTTTGCTAAGCAACAGCTTTCTTAAATGCCAAGGAGAACATCTGTCTTCTCTCCATCACAAAGAGACACAAAGGCATCTGTCAACACAAAGCTGTGTCAGCCAAATGCCTGCCATGTTTAATATTCAGAAAGCTGCTTATCTTAAAACTGTTTACTCCATTTGGAGAAATACCCTGCACCCAGAAATCCTTCTGAGAGTGTGTGCTATCATGGGGAATCAAGGTTACTTTTTTTAATCCAGGGAAACATAAAGCTCCAATCTCCTGCTTCCTGAAGTAGTAAAATAATGTTTTTTTTTTTTTTTGCTTTCAAATTATTCAACTAGTTTAAAAAAATGTCTCAGCCTAAACCCAAACCTTTTCACTGGCACACTGTAGGATTCTTTTTCCCTTTTTCCCTTTTTTTTTTTGGAGGGGGAGATGAAAATAATGGAGAGAAGTAACAATATGGGCTAAGAACTGGCTTCAGAATGATCAACCACATAAATATAAAATGTACTTCAACTTTTAAAGATGTTGCCTAAATTGTACTATTTCAAAGCTTTGTTTTGCACCCCTCCTCTCTCAGTTCATGCCTTGCTAATTCAGCCTCCATCTTTCCTGGTCTGTCCAGTGTAATGAGAGAGCTCAAATGCGGAGCTTTCAGGTGGAGAAATGAAGAAAAACCCAGCAAAGCCACCACCCACAGAGCATGGTGGGATTCCAGGGCTCTTGGTTGAAAGATTTTTAACAGATTTCCTCACCAAGGAAAAAAAAAAAAACCACCAAAAAAAGAGCTTTTGTTGCTGCCAGGCTTACAAACATAGCCTGTAATATGGGACAGGCTCTGACCTTTCAGGATGATGCAAAATCAGCAGCAGTAAATCAAATGGTGACTTTGCTGACATGTCTGTAGCTTTTAGTGATTAATCCAACATTTAAACAATTTCTAGTTGGAAATACAGGAAAGGGGAATGTGGGATTCTCCTCCTCTACCCTGGTACAGATGAACTCTGGATGCAGTTATGGTTCTACCAATTTTCACAGGAAATGTGAAAAATGCTTGGGCAAGGGCAGACAATAAAGTCAGTAAAGATCCACCCGTAATAGATCATTAAAAAATGAAAGCTAATGAAGGCAAGAAGAAATATTCTCTTATTTATATGAAAAGTTTGTTCCTTTTAACAGTTGCCCCAAGACAGATCCCATCTTCTCTCCATTCTGTCCTTCTGTGAACACTCCCCAAGCAAGTTGGATGCATTTTCCCCTAAGAGAAAAGTCAGTGTTAGCAGCAAAGCTAAGTTAGCTTACACATCACTCCTCTCTCTGAGGCTCCTGCAGGACCCTTCCCTTTCTGCCATGGTACAACCAGTCCAGCTCTCAGGCTCCCACACATCCCTCCTGCCTGTGCAAAGTTGCAGTAACTGGGCAGAAAGTACCTAAAACTCATCACTTGCCAGGAACTAGAAAAGTAACATCTGCCCAAGGCTCCACAATCTGCAACTGAACACAGAGTTCTTTGAACTGGCTTTTCTAAATTAGAAAATAAGCTCTTCCCTTGAGCTATTGATGGCACAGAAATATATATTCAAGGTGCTTATTTCCATAGCTCAACAGAAAGAAAACTGAGGGTATCCAACCTCATGAGTGCCCAGATTGTCCCATGTGATGCTGGGGACAGAGGCAAGGAAGTGTCACAGTTGCCAGGATGGGATCCTGCTGCTGGAACATCAACAGCATCTGGACTCTGGCACTTCTTTACGCTACTCCCCAGACATTCAAAAATTGGTTTTCTGCCTTTCCATAAAGGAACAGATACAGACAAAAATCTCAACTGCTCTGTGGTTGGTTGCCCTGAACAGACACCCAGGCACAACAACATTAGAGTGCTGGAGAGTTTTCTCTGCCATCAGTTATTTTGACTTCTATGAACAATTGTAAGGTGGTAACACTGATATCTCACCACAACCGTGTTACGCATTCACAGAAAATATTTCACTTTTATTTTTCAGAAGCAAAATTAAAATCAAGTTATTATAAACAATGACATTTGGAATTAATTCTGTCCTTGAGCCACTTAGCTTCACGTTTTCATGTCTTTTTTATACAGCCACAAAACAGATGTGTTCATTTTTAAACTAAAGAAAAAAGAAAACAGATTCTTGGGAGCTGATGGAACGTAAAACAACAAAACCCCAGTGCTGGGAGACCAGCAACATTTTGAGAGTTGTGAAATCTGCCCAACTAGGCAGACTGATGAAAAGCAAAGATTCTTTCCTCAGGAAACCTCCACTGCTTAACTCTGCAACCATGATGTGGGAATTAGCTACACTATAACCTCAAAGCAAAACACTGCTTGAACTTCACACAGTATGGTGTTTAGGGAGCAAACGGATTGTTCATTGAGGTACAAGATCACATCATGAAGCTTCCATATATATTTATTTATTTTGCTTGTGGGTGAGAAGTCTTCTTAAGCAAGTCTATTGGTCTAATTGCTCTGTAGGTACAAACTCAGAATAACATTCTTCTCCTTCCTGAGAGCACTAGAGAAGTTGTGTGACAAAAGAGAAGTAGTACTTAATTTCTGTGAAATCTGGCTGGGTAACCTACATTGCCCGTGATCCTTTGAAACCTCACAGCTACAGCAACCCACAGTACTGTGGAAGGCCCACAATAGAATAAATTGGTGGTAAGCCCAGGAGAACTCCCCATAGATAGACAGGCCCTGGCCAGAGAAAAGGATGTGCCAAGATCTGTCAGCAACCAAGGAGCAGAACTGAAGCTCTTAGGAGGAATGTCAGCTACTCCAGACCAATGTCAGCTACTCCAGACCAATGACAACACCTCTGATGGGAGAGCTCCCAAACTGAGGCAGCCTTGGCTCATTGTTCCTAAAGCCTTGCACAAGAAGCCAGTCTCTGTACAGTGTCTTTTCTGGCTCTCATCCAGGTTCCTCTTCTTCTGCCCTTTTGTATCTCCCATCTAGAACTGGAACAAAAGGAAATAAAAACATTAGTATGGTAGGACAAAAATTTGCTGGAACTTCATTACAGCAAGGATTTGGGGCAATGGGAGGGGATTTCAAAGGATTTCAGTTCATTTTGTTCTTTTCTCATAATGGAAGTTTTGGACTTTTTTTAGTGAAAAGTTTAACTGGAGAAAACAGCCAATGACAACACTGTGAAAGGTTTATAAAACACAAAGATGTCACTAACACCACAAATTACAGGTCATGGCAACTTACACTTTGTACTTAATTCATGAACACTTCTCTCAAGTTCATTCAGGAAATGAACAAAGAAGAGTTTTTTTCTCCTCTGGAGTACATTTATCATATATGGTCAGAACTAATCAAGAAATGTTTGTTAAATAAGAAAATTTCAAAAACCCAAGTCCAATTCTTACTTGCTTCTTAATTCTATTGCACTGAAGTCAATGCACACCTTCCTTTTGTAAATGGATCCAAACCTCTAGTTTCTGGGGACAGAAACTTTAAATGTCAGTTCAGGCCTGGGAAAACACAGCCAGTGTTATTTGCAACCACTCTCAGACTGGGTTGTTGAGCTCTATTACTCCACTTCCAACTGTGCTAACCCAAGCTGACTGTGGATCTCAATCCCTCTGGGAGTAGCATGCACCTACTGTGAGACAAAGTCAAGCCTCTGACAGGGAGATTGGTAAGAAACATCACAAGCCTCATAAAAAAGTGGTGGTTTTTTTGCTTTGTTTTGTTTTAGTTTTTGTTTATTTGCTTGTTTTTCCCCACAAGAATAGCAAAGTTCTTTGGTGGTTCCTCTCTATTTTAGCTGATTTATTACACAAGTCCCAGGGCCCATTGCTGGTGAGCACTTTGTCCAGTACATCCTGACAAGGAAGTGCAAAACTGAAACAGTAAGCAGGTTAAAATTTAAGAACAGATTTATTTAATCCTCTTTTACACACATAAGTTTTAGAAATACATGCTTAATGTAAGATTGTCTTTACATTCCCAAACACATTCCTTTTAGAATTCTGAAACCCAGTTTAAGACACCATCAACGTCTGGCTCTGAGCATCCAAATTTGGGCATCCAAAAATTGATGCAAATGAATTTCACTAACCTGAACAACTTATCCAAACTTGATTAAAATGCATTAATAGACAATGTCAGAAGTGAGACAGAGCTTTATCACCTCTAGCACCTGTACTATTCTCTTGCCCATGGAGATTGGTCTTGCTGCACCAGGCCCTTTACTCAGCAAGAGTCTCTACTGAGCTGACTCAAACTGGGATTTTCTTTGGCCTCACTGGAGGTCTGGGGTACAGTCCCTGTGTTCTGCCTCGATCCATTTCCCATGGATATGACTATTACCCAAACCGTGAAAGCTTCAACAGTAGCAATAACACTTTGGCTTAGAAAATTTCTGAAGCCACAACCACCTACAACTACATCAACAAAATAAATTAAACCCAGGATTTTGGTCAAATTCTGAATCATGTTCTGCTGCACATCCCTGTGGCATCTGTATCAGCCCCTCCTGACACACAAGTGACATTTGAGTTACGCTCTTTTCCAGTATCTCAGATCAACAGCTACGTCGTTGTTCTCTGTTCCCAGATGACCTTTAAGCATTGGATATCTTGAAGTTATCTATCTGAATCTCTTAATGACATTTCCAAATACTACCAACAGGAAACTGAATTAAGTAATTTTTGGAAATGAACCCAGCCCCAGGGCAATGCTGGACACACACCAGATGACTTGCTCTCTTCCTCCCTTGAAAATCAGTGGTTAAAAGAAGTCTGTCTTAAGTTTGTAGTATTTGACTGCTAAACTCGACTGAGTTCCTGTTCAACACAACAGAGTTAGCAAGTAATTGAGTGCCCCAGTCCAAGATTTTGGGGAGCACTAGTCATGTGAGGGTACCAGGGGGTTGGAGAGTGTGATCAGGCATCAGCTGCTCCACCATGGCTGATGGGGCAGGAGCATTACAGCTCCCTCATCCTAATACTGCCCCAAGGAAAAACACAAATAGTGTTCAACTGCATGCAAGAGGCATGAAATAGCAAATGTTCTAATTAGGGGAAAGCCATCTTCATGTTTGTGTGACCAAATAATTGCAATGTTATCACTCCCAGCTTAGTGCCCATAACGATAAACCACCAGTGCTCCAACAGCCACCGGGTCAAACTTGAGTGAGAGTTTTTCATTAAAAGCATGCACAAAGTAATTTCGAAAATGAAAGACCCAGAGGAAACTCAACAGCAACTCCAGGAAGGTAGGATAAAAAAAAAAATAGAAAGAAAGAAAATAAATTATCAGAAAGAAAGTAGAAAGAGAAACAGAACTTTCTTTTAGGATTTTGGTTTAATGTGTCATCTGAAAAATAACTTTAATTACATGGCTCTCAACAGTGCCAAATTTTGACATGGACTGACATCATTAGAAGAAAGACCATTACTGATGGTAGCCACTTATCCCACCTCCCTGATACATGGATGTTCTCTGAGTTTTCCTTTAAGTACAACTACAACAGCACTGCCTGCTCAGTGAGAACCCACACGATCCAAGCACAACCAAAGGCCACACCTAAAGCCTCTGCTGCACAGATGTCTATGGAGTTCCAAAATGCTACTATTTTAAACAAAGGGACAGGGATCCTTTTCACATGACAATAACCAATAAACCAACACTTTTATAGCATGAATACATGACCTAGACAGACATCCAACTCGCCACATTCTTCTGATGACCAGAATTCCTGACATTATTTCTCTCAGCAGTTCCCCAACCAGGTCCCGCCTTGCAATGACGTCGCTGGGGCTCATGGCCAAGGAAACACAACTGCAGGAGCTGCTGTCGCCCCTGCCTTCCTGCTGCCACCCCGACTCCTGCCGGCAGCAGGGACACTCCCCCCAGAACCAACACTCACTCCAGCTCCTCCTGGTCCAGCCTTGTACTTACACAGCACTGCCACTGGAAAGAAAACCCTGAAATCTACCCTGAATCTGCTGTGGGGCAGATACACACTTACTGAGAGCCATTAAACACTCTGTAGTGTGAAAACACATCTTTTGTTTCATTGCTTCCAAAAAAATAATGGAAAAGTATGGTCAGACTCCCCTTGTCTCTACCCCTCCCTAAACCAGGAGTGAATTAAGACTGTTTATAACAACAGAACCTCTATGAAGGCCTAATTACAATTATTTCATTCATAAATAACTGGTATATGAATGCAGATCTCCCATTTTAAGTAGGCTTCAATACTGGCAATTTCCATGATTCTAAAACACTTGAAGTATGGTTCCTGGGAATGGCAAGGCTGCCTTAAGTAATTAAAACCCCTCATCTCTCCCCCCTCACAAAACAACCCTCAAAGCAAAGCTGCAAGTACCAAAAGCAAAGCCAACAGCCCTATTTAGGAAACTGGCAATTCAACAGGAGCTGCCGGTGATGTCATGTCATTTAGAGGTCGCCTGAGTCACAGGTTCCTGAGGAAGTGGCAACACCTACAGAATTACTGTATAAAAGTCAGATTTGGAAGCATGAAATGAAAATAAAGACACTTACAGACAAAGCAAAAACCTCAAGTAAAATGCTTCCTACGCTAGAGGTTTCCTTGCCTCTAATTTAAGAGAAATCTGTCACTAGAAATTCATTTGGGTGTTCACTGACAGCCCTCCCTTAGCAGTGAGGACATCAGCACTGGGGGTGGGGGGAAGATACTCACAGGGACAGAAAAAAGCAGAGGGGAAGGACACCAAAAACTGTCAAAAACCAGAGTCCAAATGCACTCAGAGCAGCAGATGTGGAAGCTCTGCAGCTCTTGCTGTCCTCCCCAGCCTATTGACACGATGAGGAAACAATTCCAGCAGCATTTTTCCATGCAGCTTTAGTCCATACTCATTTGATTTAGAAAGCAAAACCATTCCAGCAACAAGGTGCCGGCTTGCATTTCACATGTCCCAGATCCTGCAGCACTGCCTTGCCAGGATGCATCCATTGTAGCTTCTTGAGAGATGAACATCATTAGAAGATCTTTAAGACCATTAGACCAAAGGAGAAATTAGGGAAAAAACTACTGACCTTCTCTGTGAGAAGGAAACCAGAATAATGTCTCTCCTCTCTTATTTCCATAGTGCATAACATTAGTAATTAATATTAGTGGTGAATTTCATTAACAAATCAAACAATGAATCATTCTGTGGAGATCTAGCAAAAATCAAATGTCCCAGTGCCAAAAAGAAAACTGCAGTTACACACAAGCCTGGATTTTTGGATGCTCAAGGGCAGCTGAAGCAGCAAGTCACAGCCAAGGAATGTAAGAACAGAGAGTAACTGGATGGGAGAGAAGTTACAGGACTGATTTTTAAAAAATCATACTTTTCATTTGCAGCAGTACAGTGCTGTGCATATGCTTATGTCCTTCCCTGTTAGCTTACTAAGATATATTGTTGAGAAGTAATTTAAAAGTTTTATCATTTTAAATGAAATGAAGGTGTGCATGTGACCTTCAACTCCAGAGACAGAGCTCATTGTACTTTATATCAATGTCCTGTATAAACATCCACTGAAAGAACATGAGGAAGCAAGCATTTAGACTGCTACAGAAGATGGAAGGAGAGTTGTGTCCTCTGTGCCAGTCAGGAAACATAATATGTTTGTTTTTAGAACTCCTGATTGCCCCTTTTAGCCCTAAGCCCAAGGAAGTGACTGCAAGAAGCTTCAATGGCAAGAGAGCACTGGCCTCATTGAACAGAAAGAACCTCTGCTACTTCATTTGCAAAGTTCTGACAATAACTGGTGGGTTTTGAAACTCTTTTCAGAGCATGTCCTAAATAATCCCACTGAATTTGAAAAAATGCTGTGGTTAAGTCACAACAGGCAGATATTATTATGGAGGGCTGCAATCAGAACTCAAACTTATACAGGGTTGGAGTAGCCATCTGCATACTTATCCTGGGGTGAGATCATTGGCACTGGGGAATTAGGTGAAAAAATTACTGCCTTAAGACATGGAATACCTTAAGGTACTTCTCATCATTGCTACTGGAGCGTACTGCTATTAATTCTTCGGGGAGGAGCTTCAGTTCTCCTTCCCTGGGCCAACTTCCTTGACCAGGTTAAAAATCTTCAAGTGACTCACGCCAGAGACTTCACTGCAACCTGGACAAAATTGCTGGGTGGTGGAAGAATGTGGATTTCTGAACGTCAGCTACTGTACTGAGGAGAAATGAGCACAAGCCACAGCCCACTTGGATTATCGTGACATGACTTGAATACTGCAAAAATGAGGTTGGAGCAACAGTTTGACCCAGGATAATTGAGAATAAAACTCATAGATATTCTTTGCCAAGCACTGTCAGTAGTAGGGGACAAAACCGTATCAAAAAAAGTGAAATGAGGGAAAAAACCCAGTGTCAACAAACTGTTACAGTTTTGAATTCCAAACCTGTCAAATACTGCACAGATAAAGATGTGAACTTTTCAGGAATCATTACACTGGAAAGTTGAAGTGGCAATACAGAGGGCAAGTCTAGATTATTTTCAAACCTAAAGCATTACGTGTGTGATGCCACAGTATTTTTACACACTGTTAAGGTCTGGTAAAGGTCCAGGCAGCTGCAAGGGAAGGAGAGCTGGAACTGAAATGGGACAGGTAGGCAGTTTTTTCATAGGTTAGGAATTCACACACTGCCAGACTGGGACAGTCCAAAGTCTCTGTAGTGCAGTATTTCTGTCTTTTAAAATAGTTAATCCAGGTGCTCTAGAGAGAAAAGGTGCACAACACCCTCTTGAGGGAAAGTTTCATTCTTACGAAACTTAGAATATGCACAAGCACATCATCTGCATTGAAAATTAAATTAAAAAAAAAAAAAAAAGGAATTAATGAAGCCATGTCAAAAGATTCAGAAGAAAAATAGTAACAGGCTCGAGATATCTTCCGGACTGTTTCTTAGGAATTCAGCTGAAGTTTACCATGTTGCATAAGGAACTATATAAAGTAACCTCATGGATTCTGCCACACCTCTCCGGCACTCTGTAAGAAACAGGCAGAGTTGTTCTTGATCACCATTAGAAAAGTTGGTATCAGTAGCTCAGTGACCTCACACATTACTGGCCTTAATGAGAATTCTGCATGGCAAAGTCACATCTCAGAATTCCACTCATTTCATGATGTGGCTTGAAAAAGTGGAATAAAACTCCACAGGGAGTCGGGAACTGGGTGAACTCTTCATGGCCCAACATGGTCCCGGAGCAGCACAATGACAAAGTATGAGCAGTGGGCTTGGCAGTGCTGGGGCAACACTTGGATTTGATGATCTTAAAGATCTTTTCCAACAAATGATTCTATGATTCCACTAGCAATTCTGATTACACTAGTTAACATACATTTAGAAAGAATTTGTTCAGTAAGAGGGAGAAACAAGTACTATGGTTCTACAGTGCAAAGTTCAGAAATATATAATACTCATTTCAGTAAAAGTTTTCTATGAGAGCACAAGTGAGAAACTAAAATAGAGTGCTTATATATGGAAGAATACTAAATTTTGGTAATAATTCTGGTGTATATATTTAAAGTGAACAGCCAAATTTTACACAAAGAAACAGAATTAGAATCATAGAGTCTTAAGGGGGTTGGAATGGATCTTAAAGATCATCTCATGCACAAGTGCTGTGAGGAGAGGCTGAGGGAGCTGGGGTTGTTGAGCCTGGAGAAGAGGAGGCTCAAAGGAGACCTCATCACTCTCTACAACTCCTTGAGAGGAGGTTGTAGCCAGGTGGGGTTGGTCTTTTCTCCCAGGCAATTATCAGTGAGACAAGAGGCCATGGTCTCAAGCTGTACCAGGGAGGTTTGGGTTCGATATCAGGAAAAAATACAGAGAGGGTAATCAGGCAATGGAAGGGGCTGCCCAGTGAAGTGGTGGATTCTCCGTCCCTGGAGCTGTTTAAGGACAGACTGGATGTGGCATCAGTGCCATGGTCTGGGAACCACAGTGGGGTTGGATCAAGGGTTGGACTTGATGATCTCAGAGGTCCTTTCCAACCTGGCTGATTCTCTGTTTCTCTGATCTAGTCCCAACTCCCCCTGCCATGGGCAGAGACATAGGGGTAGTGGGATAAGAATCTCAAAGATGAGAAAACAGAAATTTTAGTTTATGTCATTCTCTGAAGACACAATTTTCTCTGTAGACTTCTCTGAAGACACAATACCAAAACCATACAGAATACAAGGAAGGAAAAGCATTTTTACAAGCTCAAGTTTGGATTTTAAGACCTGAGTAGTCCCTACCTTTTTCTTTGACATGTCAAAATAATGACTGTCAAAATAACATGTCAAAATATTGCTGTTGACTTCTGCTGAAGCAGAATCTCTGTTTAGCTCTTGAGATTCATCAGCTTCCTAGGAATAGAACTCCTATGGTCCCACTCCCCGATGACCTTCTTGACCAATCTGTCTGTGCTATCATGAATCTTTTTTCATGGATCTAAGTGTAATTTTCAAATTTGTGCCTTTCCTCTCTTTCAGAGCCCAGTGTTGAAGGCTTAAGACCCAAACTACACACACTCCATGAACAGATTCTTGTGTGGGCTGAACCAGGTACTTGCCATGATTCTGCTGGATCTAATGGTGTAGGACAATTTACACACGACATAAAGGGCAAAGGAAATTTATTCCAGATTGACAGACTATGACACAGCAGACTGTGAAAGCAAGGATGAGAGCAAGTGAGGGCTCCAAGGAAGAAAAGGCTCACACAGAATCTCAGATTCCTCACTTCAGTGAATGTGGTACATTCATGTAACAAAATCCCAATTTCAGCCAGCAAACACATTGAAGGGGTGACAATGAAGAAAAATTCCAGCCAGTACAAGTGTGAAATCAAAACAGAGGATATCATTGCATGAGTTTCTTTAATACTCAAGTACAAAAGTGCTGTCAACAGCTCTCCACTGAGATCTGTGCTCTTCTACTGACAGTATTAAATGGTCCCAGACAAAGTCTGTAGGTGTCACAGTTCCCACCTCCACTGCCCTATAATGCCATTACGTTTCTGTTAGATAGTTTAGAAAGATGAGTAGGTTCCCCTGAGGCTGCTCATTCCCTCCTCCCTATGGATTTGTTTTACACCTGAAAAGCCACAGTAGCTGTTGGGTTCTACAGTGAAAAGTATGAATTTGGCTATTTCACTGATGTCATAGCAGCACAAATAACATTAAAATCCTACCTCCTTCATGAAGAAAGGCAAAATTTAGCTTCTTCCATTAACCAGCAATAACTGGAGCTGAGGACTGTGTTGAAATCCTGTCATTAAGTGCATACAAGCCAGTAAATAAATGTGTTTATCTGCTAATAGTATGTGAATGTGCATTCATTCGTTTGAACGGATTCTCACAATTTCTCACTCAGTAAATGCCTAGAAATTGAGTAAAAGCAAAATAAGAGGAATTCTGGTCCACAAGGAGAAAGAAAACAACATTACATTTAGAAAACGGAAGTTATTCCAAGTCAAACTAATGTGTTTTTGAACATCAGAGACATCTGGGGAGCATATGTTCAGGAAACAGCTCAGCCTCAGAGAGTTGTATGTTACTGAAAATACAGAGGTAAGGAAACATTACATTAACCCTGAGTTTTGAACCTTCCTGCCTTGTGCTCTTCTGCACTTAAACAGATACTTCCAATGCAAAGCTACAAGGTAACTTTAACAGGATAAGCAGAGTTTCAGATACTTAAAATAATAATTAATATTTATCAGATTCAGCTTTCAAGTTTTAGATAACCAAATTCTGCAAAGACATTCACACTCCCAGGGTCAGCAACTTCAAAAAATAAAAAAGTAGATTATTCCCTCTAAACTGCCCTGCTACCAATCCATGGCTCCAGCTGGACAATGACATGGATAACAACATGGAATTCATTTGAGCTCCAAACTAAGTATGTAATTTAACAAACTGCTTTAAAAATGTACATGGAATGTTATCAGCCTTAGTGCCTGACCTCCAAAAGATCAGTTTGTTATCATTACTAGCCTTTCAAAAATATATTGCATTAATATTTTTTTATTACAATGCAGTTAATTAAACTAGACACTATGCTACATAAAAAATCATGTAAATCTATGAAGATGGTAGTTAAAATAAATACAAATAATTCCTGTTTAAGACACTTCGTGCAAACCCCAGCATGTTTCAATAAATTTTCTTTTATGGTCAGGACATGGGAGTTGCAGATATCCTTGATGTGAAGGAACTTCTGATGTGGCATAGAGAGAAGCTGTGAAATTCTCTACAAGAAATATTCAGAGCTTATGTTAAGGAACTAAAATAATTGGATTGAGCAACTCATTTTCATATATATGGAAAACAGAGACTGCTTGGCAGATTAAGCAATTTACATTATTTCTTAGTGAGTTAGCCCATGAACCCCACAATATAAAGCTGTATAAGAGATTTAAAATATCCTTCTAAAACCTATTCCATATTAAAAGCAATAGATTTAATTCTGTAGTAATTTACTTTGATATTTTACAAGTCCTTTTCCTCAAGTTATCTGTTAAACTTGAGGATTCTCAAACTACTGTCTGTGCTCAGCCATGATCTCTGGAACCATTCTTGATGCTGTGAAAATGGAAGGACTTAAATGAACAACAACAACAACAACAACAAAAACCCAACCAGAATTACTCCTTTTAAACACCTATAAGGTACTGCAGGACCACATCCAAGAATAGAAAAGTCAGAGAAGCAATTTCTTATTTCATTTAAGTATTTTTCTAGAAGTTTTGACTGAATCAGTGATCCACCCCCTAAAACACTTTTGCTTACTCCTTCTCTGACCTTCAGGAAAGCTTCATCGTCATAAAAATGCATTCTGGTCTTTTCTGTGCAAAGTAAGTCAAACCACATTGTTGCCATAGCACGAAATGATGAGATCTCTACAGAGAGGAATACCTGCACTGACACATCAAGAACAATGTACTGTAAGTATGTGCTTGGAGATAAAAGCAATGTGGTGGAAGCAGAAGGTGTGGGTTCTTACCCACTCCTGCTCTCCTTTAAAGACGAAGTTCAATTCCCAGTAGCAGAACATGCTCAGTCTTAACAACAGATTCCAACAAAAGGGGCACAAATCTGAGAAAGATGAAAAAAGACACTCTGCTTCCACGTGTCCCTTGACAAGCAAAATAAGACCTGGGACAAATAAACCTCCAAAGCTTATTTAAGCAGTGTATTTTATATGTAAGCCGTATTTAGAAACTAAAAAAAAAAACAACACACACACACACAAAAAAAACCACAAAAAAAAAAAAACACAAAAAAAAGAAGACCAAGTTTAAACATAACCACACTGCTTTAGTTATTTACGAAATAAAAAAGAAAACATGGAGAGTTCTGTCCATAACAGACTGCTTTTAAGGTGAAGTTATTAATGTCAAAATGTGGATTATGTTTGTATTTGCAGCAGTCAGAATGGGTAAGCAATCATTAACTTGTCAGGTAAAAGATAAAGGTGGGGCTGCAGTCCAGGTCATCCCCCTCCTTATCCAGCTTATTTCAGATTGTTTCATCATCACTCATGTCCCAGATCTGCAACAAAAAAGAAGTGTAATTTTAGTCCATTGGCACATACTTAATGTAATAACTTATAATAAACAGCATAATTTACTAAACATTGCAGAAAAGTTTCAAGACATCCCATACCTCACTTAACACTCAAATATTAATCTCATAAATAGTAGCTTAAAGACAAGAAATTATATGGAAATTTGTACTTTTTCTATTGTTTAAAACAATTAAAAATTACAGGTTTTTTTATTGCAGTACAATAGGATTGTACTTTTACTTTCCAACTTTCCCTTGTTCAGTAAGAGGTTATAGATGGGGGAAAGAAATGACTATTTTCATAGAACATGAAGGAATCTGGTATCCTTGTGAACACACTAAAGCAAATGTTGGAAATTCAGAGCAGCTGCCAGGCAGCAGATTTGAGGGAATATACAGGGACTTGCTAGCAGAACTATTTTTGGGGGAGTAATGTATTCTGAATATATAGCACAAGCTTTTTCTTCTAGAGAAACAGGGGGGCACTTATGAGACTATGATTTTTCAGAGGTTTAGCTCATGGCAAATACCCTCCTTCCATTTGGCAGGCTTAGGATCAGGACTAACATGGGTACTCAACTTTAAGTTGGATTTAAAAATATCATAATACTAAGTTTATAATACATAAAACTTCATCTCTGACTTGGGGCATTTCAAACCTGCCCAAATTATCTGCAATACTTCTGGAGTACCATGACAAGTCTTTCTGAGTACAAAGAATGCAATTTCTAGAGCGCAGAGCTTTCAGAAGAGGACTGAGTCCCTCACCTGACAAAAGGGGCAGCAGCCCTGTGTCCCTGGGAAAATGAAATTTAGTTAATTTGTTCCAAAACATAACTTGTGTGTTGGCATAAAATTGCCAGCTGAGTTATTCTCTCATTTTACATCCTGACCACTAAAATATATCAAAAAACCCCCATAACAGAATGTGAAGTTATTTAGGCCATAAATTCTTCAGGGCACAAAGCAGTATTTTACATGTATACAGTGCCTGAGACAATGGGGCACTGTTCTCATTGCACTGGATAGACCAATAAAAATACAAATAACCCTGTTTCTAGACAGACAACAATGCCTACTGACCTTTAGCTTTAAGAAATCCCTTTGAGAAAAAAACCCAACAAACTAGTAGTTATGGAATTAAAAAACATTCTGAAAAAACTCTTCAAATCCAAACTTGAAAAACATAAAATGAAACATTTCACTGCTATGCTATAAGCTGTGTAAAATGAAAACTCTGAATGGCAAGATCTTCTTGATTTCTAGAATCGTTGCAAAATGTTGGTGTAAATTCTTATGGAAAATACTGAAGGAACAGTTTGTTTACAAAAGGAAAAAAAGAGTTTTCATCCTGCCCTAGATGAGCAGCTCGGAGCTTGCCAAGGCAAACACAAATGTCCAGCTTACCAGTCAGGGTCAAGGATGTGGAAAATAAATACAAACCCCAAAATCTTTAAATAGAGTTTATGGTATGATTCAAGTCAGAGAAAAGCAGAAATCCCAAGTTCAGACAGATAGTCCCTCTTTGTCTGGTCTGCTCCAATCTCCTGAAAACAAAGCCCATAGACTGCAACCTTGACAAACACACCTCAGGCACAGCAGTGCAATGAATGCTTTTAAAATTACACCATGAGGTGATTCAAAGGCAAAGTGAAAGGAGCCAACTGACAACCCTAAAAAGTCTCCTTTATCTCCACAGGAGATTCACAGGGAGTGTATCCAGCTCCTCCATTCCAAGCCATTCCATCACCACCCTGATCCAAGCAGTGTGGGTGAGCAGGAGAGCACACTCCCTGTTTGGTTTTTTGTTTTGTACAGAGAAAGGTTGATAAGGTGCCAGCTACATTGGTAATGTTGTGATGGGCAATTGCTTCCATCCAGGAATGGGCAGCTCCATGATTCCTGCAAAGCCTGTTTTGCTCTCCCCGTCTCCTGTGCAGGAGAGGTCTCCTGTGCTGCTCTGTCACCTCCTAAACCCAGACAGCAGGTCCAGTGGCACTGCCAGGGATTTTCTTGGAACCAGAGGGCAGAAAGTGCTTCCCTGAGTTTGGCCTTATTGGTTTATAACAGGCAACCCCTGGAGGGCCCAAGGAACCAAGCACATCCACAGCCTATTAGGAATACAGGCTTGTTAAAAAAAGTGAAAAGAATGACAATCAAATTCTCTCCTATCAAGCACAACTTTTTTCTAGGAGGCTCTTAACAACAAAATATTTGCAAAACGACTGGAACAGATGTTCACAGGTATTTAACCAGTACTCATCCTGGACTGATGATGATTTTTTTAAAATGCTTAAACAGTATGCTATTATTTCACCTCCAGGAGGACAGAGTTTACACTTCATCCAACTATCAGAGCAGTCAGAACCATCAAGCCAAGAATGGTTCGGGTTGGAAGGGACCTTAAAGGTCATCTTGTTCCATCCCCCTGCCGTGGGCAGGGACACCTTCCACTAGACCGGGTTGCTCCAAGCCAAATCCAGCTTGGCCTTGGACACTTCCAGGATTGGGGCACAGCACTGTGTGTCAAATCTTACTATGGTTCATAAAGAACAAAGCAGTGGTACCCTAAAAATTAACATGCAGAGGGAAGAGAAAATATGAAACAAAAGGGAAAAATTCAATACAGAAGTTAACAATTGCAAATTAACTTAAAAGCTACAGGGCATTGTGCAAAGGAAGTTGTGCGAGATGTCAGTAGTGACAGCTAAATTATCACAGGGTCTTAAGTAAAAGCAACTACATGTTTTCATGACAGACATTTAAACTATAATAGACTATGACTATGCAAAGTGAACCTTTCAAGAGGGGAAATAATGAAATACAGAAAGCTATGAAAGCCAACGCCTAAAATGACTGTCACAATAAGAATCTGATATCCAAACCAAGCTGTTAATCTGGATTTTGTTCTAATTTCTCTGTCCTGAGCACACTTGGGTGAGTCAAACTCAAACTCAGCTACAGGCAACAACAGGAGAAGTCACAAAATGGAAAGATAATAAATGAGCTGTCAACCCAAAACCAGTCTGCACAAATCTGGGCTGATTATCTGAATGCACTTGTTTCTTCAAATATGTGCTTTTATATTCAAAATTCATTGTAGAAGTTCTTAAATTTCACATGCAAATCCTGCCTATTCAGGATAAGAGCAGAATTCCCACACTTGTTTTCCTGAAATTACAAGCATTACTTCCCTAAGTAACAGGAAGAATGGTGGGGGGGAAAGCCCTGTGTATTAACTGTTCACAGGTTCCCACTGACTGATTTTACACAGTTCCAGACTGCAGAGTTCAATAAATCCCACTGAACAGAATTCTGCATTTCCTCCATTCAACAGTAACACCTGGTACCTGCAACTGAACTTCCACAACGATTCCAAAATTGGTGTTCACCTACTGAGGTAGGTAGTGGCTCTGCATCTTAGAATTAACATCTGTGACTCAAAGAGATAACGACTGTCGATCTTATAAATAAACTTGCAAGAAATATAAATGTACCTTTAGGGGATTCTTAGAAGTTTCTTGCCTCCAAACTGTCAAACAAACAACCCCCACACATACTATTTTCTATGTGCAACTGAGATAAATTTACATGCACATGTACCAAAACACTCTGCTTAATAGAATCTGGAATAGTTTTATTATGTAAACCACAGTGTTTACTATGTTAATAAATGCTTCAGATATGGTGAGGAGTAAAGAGTAAAATTTATGGGCAGAGGGAAATTAAATATTACTCAATCAAACAGCACACTGAGTATCAGACACACGGCTTCCCAGATCAATTAAGGTTTATCAAATCTTAGTCTGTTATTAAGAAACAAACAGGAAATTTAATGAAAAAAAGAATATATTCAAGCATCTGTTCAAAGCAATTAAATTATTTTATAGCTATAAAATGTGAGCTTTTTGATAGATGTGAGGTTAAACGTTCTTGTTCTATGATATACCACAAAGGCAATACATCAGAACTTTGGGCAGCCTAAATTACAACTTATGCAGGGGTGGTTAAATGTACTTGTTCTAGAAATGAATTACACAGAGCAGGCTGCATGAACACACCTCATATGACCTGTTCCATGTTCTTTTTGGTCTGCTGGCTGCATCTTTCAGGAATGCCCAAAAAAATGAAACTGCACCTTGAAATTCATTAAATGCCTGCAGGTTCTAACCTGCAACCTTTTCAGACTTTACAGTATAGACTGAGGGGATAATTATGAAGTTCAGCATGCTCCTTTCATCTTGGGTACCTGCTGCACAGTAAGCATTACCCTTCATCTTGCTGAAACTGAAAACACTTCAAGCATTTTGCATATTCAACAATTCCTTCCCCATCCCCCTTTCCCACAGGAAAAAAAAAAAAAGCCATAAATGAACAACCAACATGAAGAGTGTTCTAGACTAATAGGAGCATTTTCCTTTGTTCAGAATTTAGACCTGGCTTCATGTTAGAGCCTGCTCAGTGCACTCCCTGGTCAAGTACATACACTCTTGGCTGTCTAAAACAAGGATCCACCTGTGCTCCCAGTGCAAGACCTTACCCTACAGCTATCACAGTAGTTCCCCCATGTTTTCTTTTTTTTCAGAACTGGCTTCTAACTTTGTATTAAACTATAGCTAGAGTCAACTTCAGCTATTCTAACTTTGTATTAAACTATAGCTAGTCAACTTTAGCTATAACCTGAAGAACTGTCAGATACTTTTTACTTTCGTTGACACACAAATAACAAACTTAAATGCAAAGAAAGAAATTAAACTTAAAAAAAAAAAAATTCAAAGCCAAGGATTAGAAAACCTGAATTTCTTTCTTCAAGCTGCTTTATTTAAATAGCAGGTAGAGAAAAGAGTGGATAATTTCTCCAGATCCCTACACAGAATTGTCCTATCCTATCAAGTTGACCTGGCTTCCAAATTCCTGGCATTCCTAGTACCTCCACAAGTTCTGTTTTTCTGTCTCTGCCCTCAAGGGCTTTCCTGTCTGAATGG